TCTGCCCTATATAAAAATATTTCAAGTTCGGTATTGGTTAATGGTTGGATTTCCAAAAGTTTTGATGTTGAAAGAGGCATACGACAAGGATGTCCATTGTCAGCTCTGTAGCTGCTGTTTATCTTAGCTGCCGAGCTCATGGCAAACAAAGTGAGAAAAAATAATATTATTAAACCAATAGAAATGGTCGGGTATGACCTTAAACTAAAGTTGTTGTAATATGCCGACGATACATTATTTTTTGTTCCGGATGAAACTTCATTAAATAGAATTTTACATGAACTGAATCAGTTTGGCGAAGTAGCAGGTCCAAGAATAAATAAAGAAAAGACAGCCATGATATGGCTAGGAGACACTGATAGAAGTTGGAATTTAGAGAATCATGATCTGAAATGGTCCCACAAACCCATAAGATACTTAGGTCACTACATATATTTTAATAATAATGAAGCTCTAAAGATGGACGGGGAGCAGAAGTTGATAAAATTGAAGAAAATTCTTGATAGCTGGACAAAAAGAATCTTAACCATTTTTGGAAGAGTCACGGTACTGAAAAGTCTAGCACTTAGCCAAGTTACTCACTTGATCATGGTTGATTCCATCCCTCCAAACTTTTTGAAGTTTATTTATTTATTTATTTATTTATTTATTTCTGATCTTTTGACAGGGTAGCCCATTCACCAGCAAGTAGTGGTCTTCCATGGGGCCCTGAATGAACATATTTACATCGTTTATAACATTTATACAGAACAGTTACAAAAATAATACTCGTTTGCAAAATAAACGTATATCATAAACCTAGTAAACAGTAATGTCAATAGGAAAATATTAAATATTAAATATTAATTATAAATATTAATTAAGTCGCAATAGAAGTTGATAGAAGGCATTATATTCAAATTTATTTGGAGTGGAAAAACAGAAAAAAATCAAAAGGGTTTCTTTTATGGAAGACTACAGTAAAGGTGGTATAAAAATACTTGACATACAAAGGCAATTGTTCAGCTTCCGACTGAAATAGTTAGGTAGATTTTTCAATAAGAGTAATGGAGCGTGGAAAACATTTTTTCTTACTGGTTCAACTTACTGGGAAGCATCAAGCTACTGCTGAACTGCTCTTATAATATAACCACACTTAATGATATTCTAGTTCAAAAGAAAATTCCGTCATTTTACGTAGAAATCTTAAAGGCATGGGAAATGATTAGATACTGCACTACAGTGAAAGATGTTTGTATATCTATACATGAACCAGTTAAAGTTTCAGATCAGATTATTTGGCACAACAAACATGTGGTGTATGATAATGAGTCGCTCTTTTATAAAGGCTGGTATGACAGTGGTCTAGTATTTTTAGGAGACCTTTTTACGAGAGATGGCTTTCGGTCAACAGAATATATTAAATCGCAGGTGCATTCCAAACGAAAATGCAATGCAATGACTATGCAAGACTTAAACGAGCGATACCTCCTGTATGGGATAATAGTTTAAAAGAAGAATTTATGCATGATTATACTAAACAAGAAAATGAAAACAATGTTCCATATCTGTTGGTGGCAAATAAGGTAAAACATGTTACTGATATAAGTAGCAATCGTCTCTATAAACTCATTCCTTCGAGAACTGTATTAACTGTATTAACTAACACATGTTGCCTTTATTGGGAACAAAAACTTAATGTAGATATTGATTGGTCTAAGGTATTCAAGCGTAATCTTGCTCAAATTAGAGAAAGCAAATTACGAAAGTTTAATTTGAAATTACTGTATAACCTATTGCCAGTAAGAAGTAATCTTTTTAAATGGGGAATATTCAATGACGATGTATGCCCAACATGTAATATAAAAGAGGATATGAATCACGCATTTATAGAATGCAAACTAATTGAGCCCTTCATTAAACATATCAAAGAAATATTAAGAGATATATACAAAGTAAGGATACTGACGCTCAATATACAACACCTACTCAAAATAGATTGTGAAAGTCATTGTATATTATTCTTTACAATAGCATTTTGGACCATTTATAAATTGATTGTTAAACGAAATATAACTGGGATAGACAAGAGAAAAGTTGCTTCTAAACAAAATCTCCATAGAGAAATCATAAAAAGAATGGAAAGTAAATCAAACTTAAAGATGAACAGAAAGCTTTTACCAAAAGAACTGTTGGGTGTTATTTAAGAAAAGAAAAAAAAAAAGAAAAGAAAGGGAATCAAAACTATCAGTATAATTTGTATGTTAATTATGATTCAATTGCTTTGCAAAGCAAAACTTAATTTCAATTCTTTGTTTATGACAACAATAATGTTTTTGCGATTATGTAAATTTGATTTGTAGTATTGTATCTTTGAATGTAACCATGTATATATAATCAATAAATCCTCTGATGAGGCAAAGAAAGAAAAAATATGTAGAGAGGATCATCTCTTCATTACTTAACTATAAATCATTATTCATTAGGCATTCAAAAGTTGAAGAAGAATAATATTTCTTTCCGTCATGGTTGTTGATTGAGTAGGAGAAATAAATAAAAGTAAAAAAGAGAATTTATTTAAATAAACCAATCACATTTATTTAAATAAACCTATTACTTACATTTTCATAATTTTAACAAACGAATTCGTTTTCACTGGGTGCCTGCCGTAGCAAAAAGCAGATTTGACAAAAGACTTAACCCCGTTTCGTTGACAATCAGCCATGCATGAAGACTCTCGTCTACGGCTGATTGTACACGAAACGGAGTTAAGTCTTTTGTTATTTTCGTTTATTTATACGGCAGGCAGCCAGTGAAAACGAATTCGTTTAATAAAATTATGGAAATGCAAGCACTACTTTAAACAAACAGAACTTTGTTATTCCTGGCTCTAGAAATTTTCTAGAAATATGAATATTTCTTTGAAATTCAGATACCGCCCGCCAAATTACTTTTTGGTTTCCTTCCTTCAAATTGCTTTTAATCACTCATGCGTGAAATATGCATCACGTGAGTGGCATCAACTGAAAGGCTTTCCAAATATGTATCATTCATTAATTATGGTTGTGGTTGTGATTAAGTTATGATTAAGTTATGATAAAACATCGATACTTCTCGGTTTCATTTTTCTGGGACGCACTGTATAACAGAACTATGATAGGAAACAAAAGATAGTAAATGGAAGAAAAACTGGGAAGAGAATTAAGTATAAGAAGGCATGTTCACTTAGAAAGAGAAGTTGTGTCTACGATTACATCATAACAATGACAAAGTACTACAATACCAAAATAGACAGCGCGTACATATCCTTGAAAACAAGCAAAATCATCAAAGAGCAGCTTCATCCGACAACATTGTCCTGGGTAATATAAAGATGGTACCTAGCAACAGCTAAGGCCTGTACGTAAGTGATCAAATTAAATAAATAATTGGTCATAAAACATGTTGTCGAACTCTAAAAAATAATTTCTTTAAAGATGGGACCAGTATGGGATCGATAGTGCATTCCGGATATTATTCGAATAATCCGCTTCTTCAATAATGTAAGTTTTTGAATTTCCAATGTTTTCTAAATGTTTCCAAAACAATTTCAAGTGTGTAGATCACAGTTTAATCTAGCTTAATGTCCCAAAAGCAATCTTAGCAATGATTATTGTGATAATGAGTATTATAAAACAGTTATTGCTGCTCTTTAATACAACCATTATTATCCAATGATTCCTCAACCCTTAGTGACAATATTTTCACCAACTTTCTTAAACAAAGATGTCTGGCTTTCATTCCCTAGATCCCGCTGGTTGCACGATTGTTGTCTGACTTTCATTCCGTAGATCCCGCTGGTTCCACGATTGTTGTCTGACTTGCTTTTAATGACAAGCACGGTGGCGTTTTTTTTTACCTTGGAACATTGTACTATTATTCTTTGTTCCTCGTCTCTACAATACTATTTGAACAATATTTGATGACAATAGACGGCACTCTGGTACTAACTGAATTTGAACCAGGCCCGGTTTTCCCTACTCTCTGTTTCTCTCTCTCTCTTTTGTTACTGCCTTCCTTTTCCCTTGCCTACTTCCTTCTGTACGAGCTTTGCTTGATTATTTGGTACTGGATGATTAACATGGGAAAATGCACTTGTTAACATAATCAAATAATGTCTTATTCATTCTAGTTTTTGTTTTTTCTTACTGTTTTCAAGACAATATAATTGTTGTCTTTCATATTGCTAGCTAGTTTTATGTCTCATGGTAAGCTGTAGGAAAACTCAATCTAAGCAACGGTTTATGAATGTTAGCAACGATCTTTCGCCATCGCTGCATTTTAATACTTTAAGGACAAGCAGTAACGAATTGATATTTCAGAAATCAATGTAAATTCGTTTAACCGTTGATTCCGCTCAGTTAATTCTATTATTCGTATTATTCAGCGAAGAGAGAAAGAAGTAAAAATAGTCATGACTCACGATCTTGTAACACTATTCTTATTTGTTGATCGTTTCTAAAATGCTGTTTGAAAAAATATTTTACGACAATAGAAGGCACTCTATAGTACTATTTGTATGTAGCGTCACACGGGCGCGGATTCAGAAGGGGGCACAGCTGGTCCGTGCTCAACTGAGCTACATAGTCCTATAATATTCACCTTATAATTTCAGATCATTCATCTTCACTTTGAAAGCTAAATAATATAATGGACCTATTCCGGATCGACATTCGTCGTTTTCTTAACGACTTCATTGTAATTGTCTCCGTCAATGTCTGTTCAGGTCGTTTTTAAAGCCTTTCTTTCGGCATACCTATCCCCACTATTGTAGATGCTACATACTTCTAACATAGTTCTTCAAACTAAAAACTCTACAAAAGACGTTCGTGCTTTTGCATGCAAAACAATATTGAAATCAACTCTGTGCTGCCAATCTGCTTTACACTGCTTCTATTTAAGCTTGTTTTTTGACGTCATTTCTAAACAATATTTTGTGAACAAAACAATATTTTGTGAACACTTTATTATGTTCATTACAGAATACAAGCAATTCACGAATGAAGGTTTTGACGTAGAGGGCGTGGGTCATGGAGACCCTCCTAGTTACGATGAGAGTAACGCGATTCCAAGCTCAGCTCCACCTCAGAACCCTTACCCGCCTCCGAAATCTCTTGAGTATCCTATGCAACAGCCTTCTCACTCTCAGCAGGCTGCACAGTTCCCTCAGCAGCAACCAGGCACTGCTGCCCCCCAGCCGCAGGTGGTTCAGGTAAAACACCTAGATGGCAGAAGATAGACTGAGGGGAGGCTGGGAGAGATAAGAGAGAAAGGGAAAGAGAAGGAGAAGGAAAGAGAGAGAGAGAGAGAGAGACAGAAAGAGAGAGATAGGAGAGATAGATAGAAGGGAGACTAGGAGAGGTGACAGAGAATGAAAAGAGAGAGAGAGAAGGAAAGACAATGAGAGGAGAGATAGAAAGAAAAAAGGGAGACTAGGACAGATGACAGAAAACGAAAAGAGAGAGAGAGAGAGAGAGAAGGAAAGACAATGAGAGGATAGATAGAAAGAAAAAAAGGGAGACTAGGAGAGGTGACAGAGAATGAAAAGAGAGAGAGAGAGAAGGAAAGACAATGAGAGGAGAGATAGAAAGAAAAAAGGGAGACTAGGACAGATGACAGGTAAAGGAAGAAGAGGGAGAAGGAAAGAGATAAAGAAAGAGAGAGAGAGAGAGACGAAAGACTTGATGCATGGCTGATCGTCAGTGAAAATGAACTCACTTTATCAAATTATGGAAATGCAGACATTAATTTAAACAAACAGAACTTTGTTTTTCCTGGCTCATTTTTCCTGATTGAGATATCATATGAAGGGGTAGAAATTGAACTTTATAGAAATATTATTTTCTCTTTGAAATTCAGATACCACCCGCCAAATATTTTCATTGGTTTCCTCTCTTCCAATCGTGTTCAATCACTCATGCGTGAAACATGCATCATATGAGTTGCATCAAATGGAGGAAGAGGATCTAAGCTTTAAAAGTATGTGTCATTTATTAATTATAATTGCGATTAAGTTATGATGAAACATCGATAATTCTTGGTTTTGTTTTTTCTGGGACGCACTGTAAAGTAACCCAAGGCTCAGTTAAGCCGTATTGTAGTGTTAACAAAGAAAGTAATCGAACTATAATCCTAGGCTAATGATTTACCTTATAATTGTGAATTTAAACAGGTGCCGATCCAACAGAACATAGCTAATGTGAGCACGGGAATAGCACCGAATGACTACTTTGCTCAAGCTCTCTTTGTCACACTCTGCTGTTGTATGCCATTTGGGATTGTAGCTCTCATCAAATCAAGAGAGGTATGATGGATTATCTAACCAGACTAAACAAATCTTGTTCAATTTCCCTATCGGACATTACCCCAGGAAACAACATGTTTGCATTTGTAGTCCATTGACAACTACAATTTTTTTTTAGGAAGACAACTTTTTGTCTTTTGAAGAACACCAATATTCTACAAATGCATGATGCATGGTATATCATCAATAACAATACTTTAAAGAAATTTTTTGGCCCTGCGGATATGTATGTTTACAGTTTATGCATTTTGTTAATTAATATTAGTATTCGATATAGAAATAAAACAGTATGCTCCTTTTGATTATTCTATATATATTAAGTAATGAGAAAACACACACATGTAGTAAAAACGATAAAAGGGGTGATGCATTAGTTATATCATTTAAATAGAATAATTGAATAGGGGGACCTAATATTGATCATTGAGGGACTCCATATTTAATTGTTAGATATTCCGATAAAAACGTGCACCACATATTGAAGACGAAAACCTCTAAACCAGGAAAGAGCGACTCCTTGAACTTCATAAACTCGAAGCTTTTAAGGTAACATATAACTTAGTTAATGAAAAGCTTTTGATAAATCCATTACAGTCCCAATTTATATGTTGTTGTTTTTGTCTGTTTCGAGAACCTGCTAAAATAGCAAGCTCATACGTGGTGGTACATAGTACACAACTTCCTGGTAAAAAGACAAGTGTTTATGTCAGGAAAGAAAAGAAAAGAAAAGAAAGCCTAGCATGGGTCAATTTTCTGAGTAATCAGAGGTCAAATGAATTATTATTATTCATGTATTACATTTCCCGATGATTCCTTTGGTTTTTAATTGTCTCCGGGAAAACTTTCTAAAGATGATTGGAAGGATATCATTGCGATGAAACCGGTGACAAAAATGCATCACATAGTATACAAATATACAATACCTTTCGAGGGTCTAGCAAAGACTATGAGCTAATGAAGAGGCATAAATAGTAGCTTTCCCGAGAGAAAAGTTATATCAAATTAACTATACCCGAGGCTTGCCGAAGGTATAGTTAATTTGATATAAATTTGCCTTGAGAAAAAGTCACTATTTATGCATCTGAATGCTCATAGTTTGCTAGAGTCAAGAAAGACATTTTATATCTGTTTTATATCCCTCATGAGCAGTTCATTTTTACAAAGAAACTATTACAAAGCCTGCATTGTTTTCTTGCTTTAGTATTCACCGTTTTGATTCTCAGCTCAAGCATATATATAGAAGTTAGAACGGCGAGAGAAGGAGGTCTAGGGCAACGTTATCCACGAGATCATCATCGAAATCAGTTTTTATTTCTTTACAAAATCCTGAACCATAGAAAGTCCGTACCTAATCTGTTTCGTTCGTGTTTTTGCTGTCATTTCCTTCGCCAGATTTCAACAATTCTTCCATCTTTAACAGGTGAAAACGGGAATAGTTGGACTCGGCAGCCAATTTGTCGAACTACGTTTTTTTTCAAATGCTTTTCTCAAAGCGCTATCCTACGCGCACGCCGCGCCGGAATTCTACCTATGGCTTTGCCGGTTGATTAATTAACATTAAAGCTGCAGATTTAGCTTGCGCGCTCGTTGCTATCCAAAAATTAAAAATTTAGATATCGATCGCAAAAATATCAGTGATCGGTGGAAAAAGTGGATTCTGGAATGTGATATACCACGCCAAATAGTAAATTTTCTCACCCTCTCAAATTCATAGTGAAGCTATACCTTTTTCGTGCTCTGTACAATCGCGACGTAAAACACTATACACGAGGGATGTAATATTTGAAACGAACTGTTTGTTGTTCTTGTAGGTGTTGGTAGTGATTTGTGGTTTATGTTGGAGTGGATGTCTACAGATAAAGCATAACAAATTCGGGGTAGTCATTCAATCTCCTTGTTATAATTGGTACTGTCACTAATCTTCTGCTATTGTTGTTGGTATACATGACACAACATGAGTGTTGTATTTTTTTGCTTTATCTGAAGGTGAAACACCGATCAGCAGTAGGGGACTACCATGGTGCCGCTCTCTCATCTTTGGAGGCGAAAAACTGGTCCAAAAAAGGGTTACTGTTTGGAAGTATTTCGTTTGGTGTTTCTGTTGTTGTCATTATATACGCTGCATTACGCACATCCATTGAATATGGTTATTAGAAAAAATAAAAAGAAAGAAGGAGGACAGGGGATCATAATCAGAAAGAAAGAAGGGCTGCGTAGTTTATAAACAAATTGTTTGCCTTCAAAGTGCATGGTTATTTCTCTTAATCTTATCTATGACATTTATAGTGCCCTTTTAGAACCTAACATGGCTATGAAGGTAATTTTAGACCCCAAAATGTTCGAAATTTAGCCATTACGATCATACCCAATTCAGCTCCATTTTCAAAAGAATACGGTGACTGTTAATTAATTATTTATTTGCAAATAACAATACATGGGCAGGCTGGTTGTGCGTAATTTAACCAACACGAAAATGCCAAAGAAAAAGCCAACGAAAAAGCCAACATCGGCATCGGCTGAAGTACGACGTAAAAGGCGCTATTTCGTTTTTTCAACGGCTTTTTCAAATTATCTAACATTTGTGGTGGTACACAAGTAATAGAATTTCTGTATATTTCAGCCGCCTTTAAACCTATTTTGATCAAACAAAGATTTTTTGTCTTCTAAATATTATGTTTTTTCAAATTTGACACTCGTTTTTTTTATTATCTCACAAAAAACTATTTTGTGTAGCGCCATCTGCAACATAACTCAACTATCCCTTTAATGAATACTGAATAAAAAACATGAGATCTAATGTTCCTATAGTTAAACGTGATTTTATTCCCAGGGTCAGTTTTAACTTAATCAGTAGAATCCGGACTTGTAATCTTAAGAAATATTTGTTTAATTTAGCTTATGATTGATTACCATAACCTTTCATGTCTATACCTTTTCCTATCGCACTTTGTATAAATGTATCATGTACGTATTTTATCTTTTGCACAAGCTGCGCCTTGAGCATTTGACTGTGGATTTTGCGCCTTATAAATCTTATGTATTATTATTATTATTATAATTTATAAAAAACGATAAATCTTTGCAAGAAAATAATGCTTTTATAAAATATCTTATTATCTTGGAGTTCATTATATTTTGTAAATAATCCCGCTGAGGAATTTATTCATAATCAAATTATTTGGGATACTAATTCATGTATCTAAAGAAAGATAGGATAAACAGGTATCATTACAATTTGATCACATATTCTGAGTTTGTAAATAAATTAATTGTTCATTGTAATTTTCTAGATTTCTATTCAATTATATCGGCTATACCTTTACAATGAAAGCATACTTGCGAAGACCCACCTAACAACATTTTTAATTACCAATCAGAAATTACTTGCAGAATGAAAAAAATAACTGAAGTATGTTAACTAATTCATAAATTGTGTGTTGACAAACTCTTTAAAGTTCCAATTTCCTAAAAGAAATGGGAAGTTCTCCTTTCAAAAATTAGTTGTTAATTGGAATAAAATTTACATCATTCCTTTTAAATGCACTTTTTCGACAAAATTAAGGTATTTCAAAAAACAAAGAAAATGCAATAAATTATCAATAAATCATTGAATGTTGCCCCGATCCCAACAGAATAAAATCGTCTGTGTGGCCATGCCTTGAACCATAATGCACGGCCCTACAGAGATTTTTTTCCTGTTCGGGACCGGGGGGAAATGTAGTGAATTATTGATAATTTATTATTATTTTTTTTTTGTGGGGGCGGCGACGTACCCTAGCCCCCGCTGCGTACAGACATGATTCAGTGGCTAAGAAATGGCCTCGTTACTGTGAGGCCCCAGGATAAAAACTGTATCGATCAGCTATATTAATGCCCTGTTGTGAGGCATTAATCATCATTAATATCAGTTATGATTTAAGAGCGTTGGTCCCCTATTTCATTAGCATACTAATAGTAGCACACACATGCTTTAGCAGTCACGCAAAACACTCGCAAATTATAAGTCAATACAATTTGAGAATGTATACTCTTATCTAGATATATTATGAATAAATCATTGTCAAAATTATTCCATAAAATGGGGTAAAAATAGTTATTCCACCATTATGACCAACAGTGTATGTATCCATCATTTTGTATTTTTGCCTATACATGCATTGGTTTATTGTGTAAGAAAAAAATGGCTAAAGACATTATTGGAATAAAAAAATAAAAACATATATAGCAATGTAGACTTTATTTGAAGACAAAAAAGGAAAAAAAAAATATATGCACCACGATACAAGAAACATGATATTGGCTGATGCAAAAAAGACGTGGACATTCTCACAGGTTCTACAAAGTGAGTAGACACCGAGAACGGATACATGAGTACCCGCAAGATGCACCCTAACTTCTGTATGTTTATTTGCTTGATCACCTTATAATCTATTAAATGAATATGCATGTCAGTAAAACGTTCAATTATCAAAATGTTAATTGTCTCGGGTAAAACCCAAGAATACTATCTATAATTCCATATTGAAGGCCTATATTTACAATGGCACTTATTGTAGAATGTTTTAATGAAAATAATCTTTATTTCAATTCAACTCATTATTGGAAAATGCTTTGAAAGCAAACATTTATAAGTGGGCTGTAAAACTAGTGTAAGAAATATTTCAATATTTGTATATTTTGCTACATAGTACTGTCACGTCATATTAAAATCACGTACGTACAGGGTCATACGTGTCATCTAAAGAGTGAATTCCAGTTTCAAAGAATCGAAACAGTTTTATGTAGTATCGGGAAAGAGAGAGAAAGAGAAAGAGGGAGAGGGTAGAAAGAAGGATAGAGATATATATATATATATATAGAGAGAGAAAGAGAATGAGAGAGAAGGGGAGAAACAGGGAAAGAGGGAGGGAGAGAGAAATGGAAAGAGAGTGAGAAAGAAAGAGGAAGAAAGAGAGTGACAGAGAGAGAGAGAGAGAAGGGGAGAAACAGGGAAAGAGGGAGGGAGAGAGAAAGGGAAAGAGAATGAGAAAGAGAGAGAAAGAAAGAGAGTGACAGAGAGAGAGAGAGAGAGAGAGAAACAGAGAGAGAGAGACACAGAGAGAGAGAGAAGGATTTGAGTTCGCCCTTTTCCAAATAATTGTTCCCTTCTCCTTTTCATGAATGTCCCTTTTTACCTCTGATAGTTGTTCCTATCCAAATCTTATAAGTACCTCTTTTACACTTTTGATGAGTATCCCTTTTAAATGTAATAATATCCTCCTTAGAGTTCCTTTTCATAAGTTCCTCTTTTCCCTATATTTCCCAATGTCCATTACAAATGATGCCCTTTTTTCGGTCATCTTAAGAGACAGATCCAGTTTCAAAGAATCGAAACAGTTTGTGTAATACCAGGAACCCTTATTTTCTACCACCGCAATGGAAAGCAGTGGAGCTGGGGGAAGAGGATGGGGGGGGGGGGGGCACAGTGCACACATATCACTTTCATAAGAACCTACTGTGCTCATTTAAGAAATATTAAATGCTCGTTTACAAAGCTATTAAATGTTCCATCTCTAAATTCCTAAAATAAAAATAAATAAAAGGTGTGTCCTTTTTACACCGAACAGTTTGCCGCTTTCATAAATACTCGTTTACAAAGCTATTACATCCTAAAAATGAAAAAAATAAAAGGTGTGTCCTTTTTACACCGAACAGTTTGCCGCTTTAAACTACCACGACATTTTTATATTCAAATGCTAAAAGGTGACATCCAACCTATCATCCTTTAAGCCCAAAGCTCCTTTCATCTTCCTAGAATGCCAATGGAGGATTTTTTAAACTCAAAGCAACTGTTTAACTACCCTACATGCTAGGACAGGGTGTTCTTTTTGTAACCATCATCTCCCGAGAAACAATACATTTCTCATAGCCCCCGATAATTAGGTGTGCCTATTTTAAAGCGACTGAGAGTAATTCTGCTCATATTTTCCGCAAAACTGATGGCTCGCTACGTTCCCTCGCATTATTGTTTATTTTACTATTGACGTTGTTACCCTATGGTTCAAATGCTTAAAACCCCTTCAACATCTGGGTTATTTCAACTAATAATGAGAACAAGTCCGTCGCAATGTGACGTATAAGTCTTTTAAGAGATTTGCTCCCTAGCTTATGAATATTAAGACCATCACACACACAGCAGAGTATGCTGCTAAATCAGTTTCTTGGTCGACGTAAACAGCAACAATTAATGTCATGGTCATCCTCGATGATGTATCCGTTATACAATGTCTAAAGATTGCAATCTCTCGTTTTGAGGCTACCCTTTTCTCCAGAAAGTGCTTTTAATTTTGCTAATGCACCCCTGCTTTGAAAGACATTTCGCCACTTACGATTTTTTAAAGGTTTTTCATGCAGCCCATTATTGCCAATATCAATACTTTGTACATGTTTTAACCAATTCCAGTATTAATACAAAATGCACAGATTTACACTCTGTGCACACCAAAAACATGGACAAGAAACGGTTATTATTGTGTGAAAGCCATTGTAATTCTACACGCTATACCCATTCAAGTAGATAGACGAGTTTCACTAAGTGCGACGTATTAATATCAAACACAGTTCAAATCATCTCTCTCGAATAGTCACCAGCATCGTTAAATGTGAGTGGAGAACAATCATCAGGATGACGTCTGGTAAGACAATGATCTATTTGATTTGAAGTTATAATGTTTTATTATGAATGTTGTTGACTTTGGATGTTCGAACATGAAGGTACGCGTACATTCGTGGTTCAGCTTAGATCATGCTGTTCAAAGGGTATTATGTTCGATGTGCTTGCTCGATCGTAGTATATATAGTTCTGTAGTGTCAGGACAGGAACCTATCCGGAAGTCACCAGCATTCTACCCTAATGACTCCTATCTACACCATCGAAGGCATTCAAAGGATTGCCAACCTATACCTGTCTCCTAGTCCCGAGTATCGTGACTGTATTAATAAGACGTTTGAGTCCATATTTTTGGGACAAGCGCCCATGCAATAACGCCAACAACACAAACACCACCTATCATGATAATTAAAGGCCTGATTTTAAAAAAATACAACAACTACTACTACTACTACTACTACTACTACTTCCACTTCTTCTTCTACTACTTCTACTACTACTTTTAATAATAGTAATGATAAACGGCAACAAAAACAATGTTACCCCCCCCCCCCCCCCCATGG